TTCACAATAGACTGATCTATAGTCTAGTTTTTAATCTAGTCTATAGGTTAGTCTATAGATCTAAACTGAACTAGAACTAGAATTGAACTAAAACTGAACTAGAACTGAACTTGAACTAGAACTGAACTAGAACTGAACTAGAACTGAACTAGAACTGAACTAGAACTGAACTAGAACTGAACTAGAACTGAACTAGAACTGAACTAGAACTGAACTAGAACTGAACTAGAACTGAACTAGAACTGAACTAGAACTGAACTAGAACTGAACTAGAACTGAACTAGAACTCAACTAGAACTGAACTAGAACTGAAGTAGAACTGAACTAGAACTACAAACTAGAACTGAACTAGAACTGAACTAGAACTGAACTAGAACTGAACTAGAACTGAACTAGAACTGAACTAGAACTGAACTAGAACTGAACTAGAACTGAACTAGAACTGAACTAGAACTGAACTAGAACTGAACTAGAACTGAACTAGAACTGAACTAGAACTGAACTAGAACTGAACTAGAACTGAACTAGAACTGAACTAGAACTGAACTAGAACTGAACTAGAACTGAACTAGAACTGAACTAGAACTGAACTAGAACTGAACTAGAACTGAACTAGAACTGAACTAGAACTGAACTAGAACTGAACTAGAACTGAACTAGAACTGAACTAGAACTGAACTAGAACTGAACTAGAACTGAACTAGAACTGAACTAGAACTGAACTAGAACTGAACTAGAACTGAACTAGAACTGAACTAGAACTGAACTAGAACTGAACTAGAACTGAACTAGAACTGAACTAGAACTGAACTAGAACTGAACTAGAACTGAACTAGAACTGAACTGAACTAGTACTGACTTAGAACTCATCTAGAACTGAACTATAACTGCTGTATAACTGGACCAGAGCTAATCTTTTTATTAGAAACATTTGAGACATTTTGCAAAAAGTACCAAATTGGTACTAAAAAGTACTAAAATACGAAAATGTTGCACAAATATTGTTAAAATGCATTTTACACATTTAACAAAAAGTACCGAAATGCTACCAAAACTAAAAGGTGTCAAAGTACTAAAATGTTACATAAATGGTAGAAAACACTAATTTCTAAGAAATCAAAATTTTTTATTTTAAAAATTGCATAAATTTAGAAAAAGTACTAAAATAGTACTTAAAAAAAAGTACCAAAGTATTAAAATATTGCATAAACGTTAGCAAAAACACACTTATCTAATAGACTAATGCTGCTAGAATAACAATTTTTCGCTTTCAAAGAGATCTTTTTCAAATGCAAATTAGTTAAAAAAAATTTTTCATACATTTACTTTTAAAGAATATTAAAAAGAGTTTTGAAAAAAAGCAACAGGAATTTAGGAATTTTATTACTAAAAGAAATCTAAGAAACTATTTAATCTATTTGATTATTTTATAAATAAATTGTTTTACTTTAAAAAAACCATGGAATTTTTTCTATAAAACTGAATCTGGTTATTTATTTAAAATATTTTTGAAAATTTCTCACGTTTTAAAGATAAATTTCAATAGAGTTGAGGTATCGACCAAGCTTTCAAGTTTAATAAGCTGTAATCAAAGTTTTGGAAGAAAAAATATAAATAGATAATAAGTTAATCAATATTGTGTTTTTTGTTTCTTTTTATACCTAAATTTTGTTAATTAATTTTATTTTAATTTTTTTTTCTTGATGGATTTAAAAGATCAAGGTTGTAATCAAATTGAAAAAAAAAATATCAAATCATTAAATTATAATTATTTTGAAATTTACATATATTTAAATGATAAATTGTTTGAAAAGATGATAAATTTAAGAAAAACACAAATTTAACAAAAAGTACTAAAAAAGGTACTGAATGTAAAAAGTACCAAAGTAACAAAATGCTTTATATTTGTTTAAAAAAAATACTTTGTAGTGTTTAGAAACCTTAAATTTTATTTTAACAAATTTAATAAAAAGTACTAAAATGGTACTAAATATAAAAAAGACCAAAGTACCAAAATGTCTTATAAATGTTAAAAAGAGCATTTTTTATTATTTAAAAACTTGGACTTTTTAATTTTTGCAAATGTACCAATAAGTACTAAAATAGTACTGAATGCAAAAAGTACCAAATTGTCAAACAACAAAAGTAAGTTAGTTAGTTATTTAGTTAGTTAGTTAGTTAGTTAGTTAGGTTAGGTTAGGTTAGGTTAGGTTAGGTTAGGTTGATAGGAGGATGTATACTACATCAAATCCGAAGAAATACACCTAGGCCACTATCGGGCCTGTTGTGCTCTCCAATTCAAGGAGAAAAAAAAAAATTGTTCACTGAATGTATTATTTTTCCATGTTCAGAAACTCAGTTTCCTGGACGTAATTCCTAAGAATCTTCCAATCGGTGTTGGTTAAGAATGTTATTTCCGGAATAACATCACTTCCAAGATACTTGGATCTAACTTCGACGAATGCCTGACAATGGCAAAGAAAGTGCTCCAGAGTTTCACTGTCCTCTCCACATGCTCTACATTCGTCTGAATTCGCACGTCCAATTTTGTATAGATGTGCTCGTAATCCTGTGTGTCCACTGAGAATACGTACCATCATACTAACCTCAGACTTGCTCATTTTGAGAAGATTTCTCGTCTTGCTCTCATCAGGGTCACCCCATAGAATCTTTGTGGTTCTACCCACCGTTTCATTATTCCAAGAGGCCTTATGGGATTCTCTCATCCATATTTTTAATTCAGCTTTTGTTGCGTCGAATGGTTTTGCGTTTGTCAGGTTAACTACATCGAGCTCCCTTCCCTTTAAAGCTATTACATTCGCCCTTTCGTTGCCGATTACTCCCGAGTGGCCTGGTACCCATATGATGTGAACCTTACCTCTGGGAGAGTATTCAGTTAAAGCTTTCTTACAATCCAATACGGTCTTAGATTTAATTCTATCACCTGATATCGCACAAATTGCCTTCTGGCTGTCGGTAAATATATTAAGCCCTGTGGGCGCCATATTTATTCTAATCCAATTTACACATTCCGTTATTGCTCGTACTTCTGCCTGGAAGCTTGTGTTATGATTAGGTAAACGGTGGTATATTTCTGTTTCTGGGTCTTCAATATAGCACCCCAGACCCACTTTGTCCCCTAATTTAGAGCCATCCGTGTATCAACGGATTCCTACTGGTATTTGCTCTAATGTTCCGCTTGACCAAGACATTCTATCTGGGATTAGCGTTTCAAAGTTTCCGACATATTCAGTGTCTGGTATGCGATCAGGCACGTCCGATGAATGTGTATAACCTTCCAATGTGTCCAGTATACATTGATGACGTGTCCTACAACCGTTTTTGGCCAGTTCGCCTAAAGTAAAGAGCCGTTCAGTTAGTTGTTAGTTAGTTAGTTAGTTAGTTAGTTAGTTAGTTCGTTAGTTAGTTAGTTCGTTAGTTAGTTAGTTAGTTCTTAGTTAGTTAGTTAGTTAGTTTTGTTTTAGTTCGTTAGTTCGTTTTCGTTAGTTCGTTCGTTCTTCGTTAGTTCGTTTCGTTCGTTCGTTCGTTAGTTCGTTTCGTTCGTTGTTCGTTCGTTCGTTCGTTGTCGTTCGTTCGTTCTTGTTAGTTCGTTCGTTCGTTCGTTCGTTCGTTCGTTCGTTCGTTGTTCGTTCGTTCGTTCGTTCGTTCGTTCGTTCGTTCGTTCGTTCGTTCGTTAGTTCGTTCGTTCGTTCGTTCGTTCGTTCGTTCGTTGTTCGTTCGTTCGTTCGTTCGTTCGTTCGTTCGTTTCGTTCGTTCGTTCGTTCGTTCGTTTCGTTCGTTCTTTGTTCGTTCGTTCGTTCGTTCGTTCGTTCGTTCGTTCGTTCGTTCGTTCGTTCGTTCGTTTCGTTCGTTCGTTCGTTCGTTCGTTCGTTCGTTCGTTCGTTCGTTTTCGTTTCTTTCGTTCGTTCGTTCGTTCGTTCGTTCTTTCGTTCGTTCGTTCGTTCGTTCGTTCGTTCGTTCGTTCGTTCGTTCGTTCGTTCGTTCGTCGTTCGTTCGTTCGTTCGTTCGTTTCGTTCGTTCGTTCGTTCGTTCGTTCGTTCGTTCGTTCGTTCGTTCGTTCGTTCGTTCGTTCGTTCTTCGTTCGTTCGTTCGTTCGTTCGTTCGTTCGTTCGTTCGTTTCGTTCGTTTTCGTTCGTTCGTTCGTTCGTTCGTTCGTTCGTTCGTTCGTTCGTTCGTTCGTTCTTCGTTCGTTCGTTCGTTCGTTCGTTCGTTCGCTTTTTGTCCGCCTGTCCTCTGCCAGTTACAAAAACTACTTAACTGGTACTGAGTGCAAAAAGTACTAAAGTGGCACTAAATGTAACAAGTACCAAAGTTTCAATATGTTAAACAAATACTGGGATTTCTGACACAAATGATATACCAAGAAAATTTTTACAAAAATTTCCAAATTTAAACAAAAATTCTAAAGAAAATTTCAGTTGAAAATTTCCAATTTTTTCAATAAAATTTCTTGCGGTCAGGCGTGACTTACTTTTTTTTAAATTTGTTAAATTTTTTTTGGAAAAACAATTGTTTCATTTCTTTTCTGGTTAAATTGTTTAAAATCCCCTTGTGGTTTTTCTTATTGTAATTACTACAAATTATTTCAGTTTTTTTTCTTGCATTAATTTGTTGTCATGCTTTTATTTTTATGACATTTTTGTCTTTTTTCCACAATCTTTTCTATGTAAATTATTAACTTTTATTTTTTTTTTACCAAATTCCATATTATATAATACAAAAAATACAACAAATAACAAGTTTTTTTTATAAACAATTTAAACACAAAGAAAAAAAATGCCTTAAAAAAACGAAAGACTTAAGCCACAAACTTGTTTAATATTTACACGCAAAGAAAGACGTGGATTGTGTTTGATTGTTTTAACGATGCCTCCAAAACAATATTAACCCATTAGAGGCTAATAGTTTTTATATTAAATTTCAATTCCCATTTTTTATAATTTTTTAATTTTTATTTTTTTTTTTATTTTTATTTTCAGTTGTTTAATTCCGCACGCCTTTTATTTAAGAAAAAAATTTCTAATTTTTCAACATAATTTTAATTTAAAAATACAAAAACAACAAAAAACATGTCACATTTAATTGGTATTTTATTGGCCCTGGTGTCGTTAGCGGTCACAACATGTCGAGCACTGCCAGATGTAAGTATAAGAAATTCAATAGATTCGAATAATTGCTATAACTATAGACTATACTATAGACTAGACTATAGACTAGACTATAGACTAGACTATAGACTATACTATAGACTAGACTATAGACTAGACTATAGCCTAGACCATAGACTAGACTATAGACTAGACTATAGACTAGACTATAGACTAGACTATAGACTAGACTATAGACTAGACTAGACTATAGACTAGACTATAGACTAGACTATAGACTAGACTAGACTATAGACTAGACTATAGACTAGACTATAGACTAGACTATAGACTAGACTATAGACTAGACTATAGACTAGACTATAGACTAGACTATAGACTAGACTATAGACTAGATTATAGACTAGACTATAGACTAGACTATAGACTAGACTATCGACTGGACTATAGACTAGACCATAGACTAAACTATAGACTAGACTATAGACTAGACTATAGACTAGACTATAGACTAGACTATATACTAGACTATAGACTAGACTATAGACTAGACTATAGACTAGACTATAGACTAGACTATAGACTAGACTATAGACTAGACTATAGACTAGACTATAGACTAGACTATAGACTAGATTATAGACTAGACTATAGACTAGACTATAGACTAGACTAGACTATAGACTAGACTATAGACTAGACTATAGACTAGACTATAGACTAGACTATAGACTAGACTATAGACTAGACTATAGACTAGACTATAGACTAGACTAGACTATAGACCAGACTATAGACTAGACTATAGACTAGACTATAGACTAGACTAAAGTCTATAGACTAGACTATAGACTAGACTATAGACTAGACTATAGACTAGACTATAGACTAGACTATAGACTAGACAATAGACTAGACTATAGACTAGACTATAGACTAGACTATAGACTAGACTATAGACTAGACTATAGACTAGACTATAGACTAGACTATAGACTAGACTATAGACTAGACTATAGACTAGACTATAGACTAGACTATAGACTAGACTATAGACTAGACTATAGACTAGACTATAGACTAGACTATAGACTAGACTATAGACTAGACTATAGACTAGACTATAGACTAGACTATAGACTAGACTATAGACTAGACTATAGACTAGACTATAGACTAGACTATAGACTAGACTATAGACTAGACTATAGACTAGACTATAGACTAGACTATAGACTAGACTATAGACTAGACTAGACTAGACTATAGACTAGACTATAGACTAGACTATAGACTAGACTATAGACTAGACTATAGACTAGACTATAGACTAGACTATAGACTAGACTATAGACTAGACTATAGACTAGACTATAGACTAGACTAGACTAGACTATAGACTAGACTATAGACTAGACTATAGACTAGACTATAGACTAGACTATAGACTAGACTATAGACTAGACTATAGACTAGACTATAGACTAGACTATAGACTAGACTATAGACTAGACTATAGACTAGACTATAGACTAGACTATAGACTAGACTATAGACTAGACTATAGACTAGACTATAGACTAGACTATAGACTAGACTATAGACTAGACTATAGACTAGACTATAGACTAGACTATAGACTAGACTATAGACTAGACTATAGACTAGACTATAGACTAGACTATAGACTAGACTATAGACTAGACTATAGACTAGACTATAGACTACGATAGACTATAGACTAGACTATAGACTAGACTATAGACTAGACTATAGACTAGACTATAGACTAGACTATAGACTAGACTATAGACTAGACTATAGACTAGACTATAGACTAGACTATAGACTAGACTATAGACTAGACTATAGACTAGACTATAGACTAGACTATAGACTAGACTAGACTAGACTATAGACTAGACTATAGACTAGACTATAGACTAGACTATAGACTAGAATATAGACTAGACTATAGACTAGACTATAGACTAGACTATAGACTAGACTATAGACTAGACTATAGACTAGACTATAGACTAGACTATAGACTAGACTATAGACTAGACTATAGACTAGACTATAGACTAGACTATAGACTAGACTATAGACTAGACTATAGACTAGACTATAGACTAGACTATAGACTAGACTATAGACTAGACTATAGACTAGACTATAGACTAGACTATAGACTAGACTATAGACTAGACTATAGACTAGACTATAGACTAGACTATAGACTAGACTATAGACTAGACTAGACTATAGACTAGACTAGACTATAGACCAGACTATAGACTAGACTATAGACTAGACTATAGTCTAGACTATAGACTAGACTATAGTCTAGTCTATAGTTTAGTCCAAAAGTATCTTAATCTTAATTAAGATTTTAAAAGTGTCATAGATATGCTAGAGTGTACATACTATAGCCTAGTCTATATTCTGTAGTCTGGACTATAGGCTGGTCTATAGTCTGGACCATAGCCTAGTCTGTAGTTTGGACTATAGCCTAGTACATAGTCTGGACTATAGCCCAGTCTATAGTCTGGACTATAACCTAGTCTATAGTGTGGACTATAGCCTGGTCTATAGTCTGGTCTATAGCCTAGTCTATAGTCTGGACTATAGCCTAGTCTATAGTCTGGACTATATAGTCTGTAGTTTAGACTATAGCTTAGTCTATAGTCTGGACTATAGTCTATAATCGGTACTATTCTAGAGTCTGGACAATAGCCAAGTATATGGTCAAGACTATAGCCTAGTCTTTAGCCTTGACTTTAGTCTGAATTATAGTATTGACTATAGTATGGACTATAGACTAGCCTATATTCATGTCTATAATCTGGACTCTAATGCAATTTATAGTATGCACACTCTAGCATATATCTGACCTTTTTAAAATCTTAATTAAGATGCCTAGATTTTAAAAGAATTTATTAAACTTACTTGGTCATTATCATTTTTTTCAATTATATCTTTTTTGCCTCAAAAACTATAAGTCTTATACATAAATATTTAGCAGAGGAAAAGGGAAATCTTTAATGCTATCAAATACTTCTTGTTTTTTCCTCATCCACACATTTGCAGTTACGAAGAAAAAAAATTTAGTACAAAATCTAAAGTTAAAGAAAAAATGGAAACACAGTAATGAATATTTCACAATATCCGTCATTGACTAATGATTTGTTTTTCTGAACGTAGAGTTTTTTTGCTGCAAGTACATTTTTTTCAAGATAATAAAGCAACGCGCTGCAAAATAGAAAAAAAAACTTGAGTGGACAAATCACGCGCTTGTGTAACCATTAAATATAAAAATTACAATTTTTTTCGTGGCAATTTCTGTTACACAAAAGATTTTTCTCAAATAGTAATTTTCAGTGTTCTTATAAAATTAATGACAAATATAGTTGTTGACTAGTAGTACTTAGTAGTTTAGTTGAATTTGAACTATAAATAGTAGAGAATTGAGAAAAAAAAGTTAGATATTTACATGAACTAGTTGTTATGTTTATGAGAAACTCCTGCAAATAATTATAAATACAGTTTTGAAGGATATATTATTAAAACAATTTGTTTTTAATATATTTCATAATTATAACTTTTTCAAAATAAAATTACTAAATCTAGTAAATACCAATCCAATTTAGGCTACAAAACTCCAAAGTCATAACCCCACTTAACTGTACTTTTAATTATTTTACTCAGTATATAACTCATTTATATCAATATGTCAATTTTTTCTTGCTTTAAGTCTAAGTTCTCAGTAAGGTACTATTTATGTATATTTCTATATCCGTTGTTAATTATTGTCTTAAGATTTGTTTTTTTTTTACTTCTTGTTTTTATTTCTAGTTTTAAATCTATTTTGTTTTTTGTAAAGAAAATGTTTCGCCATAAAAATTTTAATTCACGTGTTCCACAAGCATGCATTTGGTTTTTCAAACAATAACGACAAATAAATAAATATTTTTGTTAATTTTGATTTATTGTTCTTGTTATTGTTTGTAGATGGTTTTACTTGAAAGTGGGTGGATTTATTTTTAAGACTTCAGTTGCAACATAAACTATAATTAGATAACGCCCACTTAGTTAAGTATGTTGAAAGAATCTTCATATGACTAATTTATAATATTTTATGTATTTGTATTAGACTGTAGAACAGACTATAGACTAGTCTTAAGGGCATACTATAGACTAAACTATAGTCCGGACTATAAGCTAAACTATAGTCCAGACTGTAGACTATACATTAGTACATAAATTAGACTTTATTCCACAATATACACCAGACTAGACTATGATCCGGACTATAGACTAGGCTATTGTCCAGACTATAGACTAGACCATTGTCCAGACTATTGACTAGACTATAGTCCAGACTATAGACTAGACTATAGTCCAGACTATATACTCAACTATAGACCAGACTATAGTCCAGAATATAGACTAGACTGTAGTCCATGCAATAATACTATAGTCCAGAATATAGACTACAATATAGTCCAGACTATAGACTACACTATAGTCCAAACTATAGATAGCAATAGTCCATATAGCTTAGACTATAGATTAGACTATAGTCCAGAATATAGACTAGACTGTAGTCCAAGCAATAATACTATAGTCCAGACTATAGATAGCTATAGTCTATATAGCTTAGACTATAGATTAGACTATAGTCCAGACTATACACTAGACTATAGTCCATACTATTCACTAGACTACCGTCCAGATTATCGACAATAGACTAGACTCTAGTTCAGAATATAAATTAGACTGAAGTCCAGACTATAGATTAGACTATAGTCCAGACTATAGATTAGACTGTAGTCCAGACTATAGATTAGACTGTAGTCCAGACTATAGATTAGACTATAGATTAGACTATAGTCCAGACTATAGATTAGACTATAGTCCAGACTATAGATTAGACTATAGTCCAGACTTTCCACTAGACTATATTCAAGAATATCGACTAGACTATAGTCCAAACTATCGACTAGACTATAGTCCAGATTTTCGACTAG